CTTTTAACGAATTTTTAGTTACCAAATTCAACAATTTCAAAGCGAGCAATGACAACACTGTACGGGAAGAAACAATTTTATCTCCAGCTCGCGAAATAAACTGTCTATCGAAAATTTTAAAGATATGCCGTTTCTAAATGCGATAAATTTTAAACATGATATTTAAAAAACAAAGGTAACACACAAAACGTAAAAAAACACCTCTTCGCGTATAATATAAAATCTAACGCTTTCAGACTTAAAAAACAATTTTTATTTGCTTTCTTAAGTCATAATTTATTATTAAAATTATTATTAAGTCATAATTATGATATATATTGACATAAGAGAAAGCTTAAGTAACAGCGCATGTAAATAAACTGTTGAACTTAAAACGAACAGTATATTATAAATGAGGAAAAAAAATAAGACTAATAATTTTAGTGGTTTGGCGAGCCGACTGCGATACTAAAAGCTCAGATTCTAATCCCGGACAAGGCATGGTTGTAACAGTTCGTCCCTTCATAAGTCATATGTGACGGAGGACGTGGGCACTGTCCCTTTAACTTAAGAGGCATGGGTGGCCCAACTGTAAGGTTCCTCCATAATAAAGTGATCACCACTTCTTGCCTTAGTTGTGGCCAAGCCGAATTCGGCTGAGGACCCGCTATTGGTTAAAAAAAAAAAATCTAAAAAATAAATAAATAAAATCTGAAAGCTTTCAAATTTTATATTACGCCCAATTTTATATTATGAATTTCTAATTTTATAAATAAATTTATATTATATATTATAAAATTTCAATTTTATATCACGCGTTTTTTAACGTTTTGTGTGCTATCTTTATTTATTAAATATCATGTTCTTCACACTTAAATCATAAAATTCATTTGAACAGCAATATCACAAAATGAAAAAGAGCATATCTTTAGAATTTCCGATGCACAATCTCGGGCAGTAGAGATAAAAATATTTTTTTTTTTTTTTTTTTTTTGCGTGAAGTGATTGCCATTGCTGGGTTTAAGATCTTTGAGTTTTTTAATCAAAAATTCCTTAAAGTTTAACAAAATATGAAATAGATAATAAAACAAATTCCAAATTCCAAGTTCGGGCTCCCATATTCTAGTGGAGGACAACTTATTGAAAATTTGATATTTCTACGTACCGTTGTTTTTTCTCAGAGACAGAAACATACATACATTCATGCAGATTCATTATTATTTAATTTGTTTTAATATAATGCAGGGCGATAATATTTGGTGGCAACAATTTGAAAAGTGATCTGACATTTATAGTGGACCAACGCAAAATGCCAAAACGAAATTAATAGCCCTTTGGGCTAACGCCTTTTATGCTAAAAAAAAAAAAAAATAACTTAATTTACGTTACAGGACCTTATGAATTCCAACAACTTAAACTGTTATGACACTTTGAATTGCACAAGAGTCCCTTGCTTTTACAACTGCATTTAAACAAGGAATAAATACTTCTTCTTCTCGGCTTCTCGTTTTGAAGTGTGACAAGTGTCTATCTGCGCTTCTCGACATTTACCGAATGTATAAGACTATAAACAAATAGTCGCTCTTTCATCAACGTAGCTGCTATATGTTGACATTCACCAATTTCGATCTTTCAAGGTGACATATATGTATTATAGAAAAAAAAATGTGTAAATCTATTTCTATGCTAAAAATTAAATGTTATTTTGTTTAGATAACAATTTTCAAATTAATTATTCTATATCGCAATACATATTTATAATCCACAAGAAAATATTTATATACCCTATAAGCTCTGATTTTTCTATTTTAATTATTCAGATATATTATTCTAAGTGTCACGTTTTCTTTCTCCGCATCACTAGATAAGCGTATATTCTAAATGTAAACATCTTTTTGCATTGTTAGATAAACGTTGTTTTGGATAGCTATACTTTTCTTCATTTTTCGTGTTTCAGTCATTTCTTTATCATTGCATCAATAAATTCGCATCTTGGTCTTATCTTAATTGGTTCTTTCATTATATTTGGTATAGGTAAAAAAATAATGGAACAAACTCGACGCCTATATAAGGCAGCGCTTCTTAGATTTATTTCATTCATGACACATTTCTAATTAAAATAAACAATTTATTTTTAAATAATTTCTTCCTGTAAATAATTTATTTCTTGACCCTAAGTAATTTGTTTCTTCACTAATACCTTTTTGCGAAAGATGAAATCAGTTCACTATATAGTTATGCCCGAGAAGTCTGTTGCTTAGATGACGTTATAAATTGATAGTTTGCGCCGTTAGGTGACGCTTCGAACATCTTGTCTCTGTTGATATTCTGTAACTTGAGTTTTGATGGAAGATCGAAGGTGTTAAGCCTAATAATGTTGAAGGCGTTTGCCTAACAATAATGCTTGTAACCATTGTATTATATTGTAACAAAATGTGTGTATTAATGAGGAGAAGGAATGATCACTTACCTCTGGAATTAAGGCTCTCTGATAGTAACCGGAATTAGTTACTACAGATGACGACTGGTGCAAAACTCACAACTGCTTTGATGGTTAAAACGTCGTTTTTATTACGCACAAGAACAATTATCCGGAAATACATTTTTGCTTAAACCTGGTGCAACACTAAGAATACTAAACTCGCCGCACAATTTCCATATACGCAATTTACATTTCAGGTAACAAAGAAGGCGACGCCACAGACGTGGTTTATTCAAGCAGCAGCAGGTGGGTAAAAGCAGTGCATACTAACTTCAGTTGTATTTATAGCTGGAAAGTCTTTGTGTTAATCCTGAGCAGCGGTTGGGCTAAAGATGTCGCAGTGCAAAGAAATTGCAGGGAAAGAGTGACGTACTATACGGCAGAGTGAAGTAAAATGGTGCAAAGCGCATCTTTGAAGCGGGGATAGGTTTAGTTAAAATTTATAAATTTGAAGGTCATATTTTATTTGAAGGTCATTTGTTCATATTTTATATATATGTGATGATAATGTAGTTTGTTGCAGATAATTTGACGTTAGCTGAGTGCTTGATTAAGGAAAACACCAATCACTTTTCATTAGCTAGTGGACTGAAAGTTAGAAGTGCACTGAAATGTCGATTACGTAGTTGATGTCCAGAACTTTTGAAGAATGACAAATCACTTGATAATCCAAACATGTCTTTATTATTTGTTGATTACTCCATGACATGATACATCACATTGAGGATCTGTACAGTTCTGATTATGACGCATTACATTTTTAACAATGCGTGGAAGCAGCCAAGGAAGACATATCCCTCAGCTAACAGGCATAGGCAGCTAAAGAGAAGGTGTAGATAGTATTAATTATTATTTATAAGCTTGGAAATTCTTTTGTTTGAGCAAAAGTTTACAACAATGCGAATGAATACTGCAGGAAAATTGTAGAAGTCTTGAAGGAGTTATGTTTTAATTCAAAATTAATAATTTAAAGGTCTATTATCAGTTTGTTCGGAATAAGTTTCGATTTTTAATAATTTTTAAAGTTTTTCCTCCTCGTATATCTTTACAAGTTATATATATATATCTTTACAAGTTATATATATATAGAGAGAGAGGAGAGAGAGTACTTTTGGATTTGTTTCAACTAATCAAAAATTAACGGAAAAAATCACTTTTTAATGCAGCAGGTTTTTGTTTCTTTTGCAGCGTAACAAATTCAATCTTTCTGTAATATATGAAACAGCTGGACCTAAAATGTGTTCAGCATTTTTCAGCATCGAATGACATTTGGATTTAATAGGCGTTTAAACTGGAAAAGTCATTACACATAAAGGATGCTGAATGCTAGAACAGCGTTTAATGCAATTTCAGAAACTGTAGAAAATTCAATTCTAATTGACCTAGAAATCAGTCAACGACTTCTTCTTTTGAAAATCAAGTTTTGAGTCTCTCAATAGCTCTACAAATTCTATTAGGACTTTAAATGGCAGCTGATTAATCCTATTAATAAAATTTCTTTTAAAGTCTCATCATTCACTTACCGTTTCTCCTGAGACAGACTCATTGATTTGAAAAGTGTTTTCAGGAACTAGCAACGGCACTCATATGAGAAGTTGTGATTGACGCTTAACTGGTTACGCCCTCCCCGCAGCAGGATCATACAAGGCATACCAGTGGCCGAGCAGTTGCTGAACATTGGTAGTTTGGTCTCAGTTTCGAATCCCGCGAACAGGCTGCCTGCATGGGCGCTTTCGTGGTTTTACAAATGTGTAACTTGTGTATGATCCAGTTTCGCTTAGAAACTCTTCCACGAAGGTATCCCTCCCTTTAGGCAGATAGCCCTCGAGGTTTTTCCGTAATTACATAATTTAAACCGAAACAAAATTATACAAAAGTGAGTTCTCTTAAAAAGACAGGTAATACGAATATACTATTGGCCCTCTTTCAGCTGGTATTGCAATGGAAGTACTTCTCATTTGAAAGCCTATCTTTAGGGGATCGTCTATGTTAATTTTATAATAAGAGATTAGCTAGCATAAAATAAATTTTTATCCTTGGTCTACTGAATATCTTTGGAGGTGACAAATGGTTGGTTTTGTAAATAGTTAGTGAAAGGGAGAAACCAGTTCTAAAGCTAGTTTGAGGCGAAATCCTTGATGTTAAAATATTTGGGTTTTCTAGAACAATGAAGTAGTTAATGTAATTTCTTTAAATTCATGTATATTAATTATATTTTCGCAGCCCCAACATATTTTGCTTTAGGACCCTGGTCAAAGACGAAACGCTCTTTATCATCTCATCAAATCATAATCTTTTGGGTTATGGGCCAAAATTTCAAAATTCACAATTCTTGAATAGCTGTTAATTCATAAATACCTTTTAATGGGTCTATAAATTCAGGTTATCTCATATTCTTATATTCTTGTTTTCCACTAAAACATTTAAATAATAAATATTAATGCTTTCACTTTAGTGTATTCATGTATTTATTTTATTAATAGTTTCTTAAAAAATACATTGTACATATTAAGTAATTTTCACTGCTTTTTTCTTTTAGAATAACTATGAATCTGGAAGTCATCGATATTTGAAACTCTACTACATAGCTTAGTGTTGCCATTTGAATTTCGTCTAACGGTAACGTATCTTCTACATCTCTATTCGCGTTTTAAGAATAAATAAGAGAGTCATTGTTATTACGTAAATTGCCTTAGAAATGTATAACTAATTAATAATTATTTCAATAAAATTTCCCATGTTTTCAAAAAACGCTATGCATTTTGTAACAAATAACTAACTGAATTTACGCGTTACAAATTTTACCCCATGTTATGTAAATGTGATAATATTGTAAGGTGTATTTTAATTTTATGACAGTTATTTTAATTTTGAAGACCTTTCCTTTCAATTCTTGTTTCCCATTTACAACGCCCTACCAAAATGAGTTTTTAGAATCCAGTTGAATGTAAATGAGTTGGAAGTAGTATTTACTGGAAGTACAATCAACTTCAATAGACAGCTCTAGGAGTAAATATGATGTTCCTTGCCCTTTGTCTATGAGAAACGTCGAGGAACCCATTGAACTTTCTAACGAATTGTTGCTGAGTTCAATCACTAACAATGTAGACGCGAGAAGGGTTAAATGCACCTTTTATTCACTCAAATAAATAATAACAGTGGGCCCCTTCTCGAGCTTACAAGAAAGCCTCTACTCGTGCTTTAACTCAGAATAAGAAAATAAGAAACTAATCTGATATTAACTAAACTAGACTAAGCCGAAGCTAGACACAATTAGCTAACATAGTTGCCCCTTAACTAAAACTAGCCGGCGAATATCAGTAACCACGCATAATACGGCCGAGCGTAACAGCTTCAACAATGAATTAACCAGAAGGCAGACACGCGCCACTAAGGACTCCTATCGAAGTTAGTTGAACTTTCAATAAATACTACTCCTAAGTCATTTGCATTCAACGCTATTCTAAAAGCTCATTTTGGTAGGGAGTTGTAAGTGGGAAATACGAATTGAAAGCAAAGGTCTTCAAAACTAAAATAACTGTTATAAAATTAAATTACACTTTACAATATAATATAATGTTTGGCAAAGTAATGTGATATAATATAATGAAATGCAATATAGTGTGATGTAATGTAATATAATATAATGTAATATGCATGGATTTTAAAACCGGTGCATTTAAGATGCTGAGTTCCCCAAACGCTAGTGAATACTTTGTACTTTCATAATTGAATCATGCCGGCTTTCAAAAACTATTTTAAACCCCAAAGACCAATCACAGCAAAATCTAGCAAGAAGAGTCCCTAAAAAGCGTTCTGAGGAACAATGATGCAGATTGAAACAAAAGTGTGAGACAAGTCCCTCAGCAAGACATCATCTCACTTCATCTCAAAGTGTTTAACTAGCAGAATCACCAGAGTCCGGTTCTGATGTCAGGACTTGTGTTTCTCTTGATTTGCTTTGGAAACATGGAATGCCCTGAATAAGAACAGGGAGCTTACTCAAGCTGTGTTCAAGATTTGTGTATAACAAACGACACAAGCAGGAAGGGTATACGAAACCCTTTATTTTCAATACTTTACAGGCACTTCCGAACTTATACTAAGAGGAATACAGAGACCAGCCACATGTGGTCTGAACGTAAGAATATAAAACTACTAACTAAAACTCTAACTAAAAGCTAACTTTGAATTAGTATACAAATGCCTAGCACTAAGACTGGCCTTTATTTAAAAAGGGTACGTATGTAGTACGCCGAGCTGCTGAAACTACAATACGTTTACAAATATCAAGAGGGTTAAACCTCTGGCCTTAAAAGCAACCAGCAACCGAGTGAAAACTCGTAAAACTGCAGTGGCAAGTGACTTGCTTCCTAAAACTCCTTCTCTCTCCTGCTTGGCAAAAAGCCACAACTTAAGTACTTGGGCGTTAACAAGACAATTTGCATAAACAAGTTAAAGCATTTAATTCTGGCCGGAAGTAGAAAATAAGAAGTGATAGTATAGTTTTAAAATAAAATAAACGTTAGTAAAATACTGATCTTACACTGTTAGTAATTCAACAACTTCCATATCTCTCTTTAATAACTCTCTTTAATAAACGTTAGTAAAACTTAGGATCCTTACACTGTTAGTAATTCAACAACTTCCATATCTCTCTTTAATTTTCCCCGTATGGAAATTTCCTTCTTGCATCTTATGGAAAAATCTTGAAGTTTTCTGAGAAGACTTAGCAGTCTAGTATTCTTCTAGAATGATTTCAATTTTAGCTGGAACAAATTGAAGATATCTGAGTAGTACAATTTATTTCTTCTCTAGTTTTCTCCATTTAAGCTCCTTTGCGAACTCGTGGCAATTTTTGCGTTTTAAGGGTCGTCTCCTTAATATCTGAGGTATCTTCTGAGGTCTACTGATATCTGAGGCTGATCTCTTTCTCTACCTTTTGTAACTTAAAAGTGTAAATTAAATGAGGCTTTGCGCACTTGAAGCAACGGGGTACATTAAACTGGCTGTGCATGCTTAAAATGGCGATGGCCAAATCATAATTCTTCCTACATGAGAAATAAACTTTAAGATAGTCTTTGGGTCAGCATACCTTGGAAATCTTTGATCTTGTTAAAGGTTTCCATTTAGGATCGGCGAGAGCTTTTTCTTTTTCTTTTCTTCTTGTGGGTCAATTACCATTTCTTTGAAGTCAGGAGCTTTTATCAGAAACAGGTACGAAGCTAAAACTGAGTTTCATCAAAGAACCTTAATCTATCTTCTCCTGCGATTTAGCAATTTTCCTTGGCTCTTCCAGTTGTATTGTATTATTAAACATAAGACAAAGTGGTTGTTGATCTTTGATATACCTAGGAGAAGAAATCGCAGACATCCATTCAGTCCATCTCTTCCGGCTTTGGAATTACGCTTCATATAAATCATTCGACAGTAGAATACCAACATTTTCACGCAAAATCTTAATTAATATCTTCTAGATCCTATATATGGATTTTAAGCTCCAAAAAAGCTTTTTATATATGGTCAATATCAGTTCTTCTTACGAAAATGGTCGGAAAATTACGAGCAGTACTGTTGTTGCAACTCTCAGGGATACAACGTGCAGGTTACAAATTAAATAATCACAGCAGGGATTATTAATAGAAAGATTTAATGTGGATATCTCATACAAGCTGAAACATGTTACATTACTCTAAGAACTGCGTACATATGGCTGAGTGAAAAGGGAATTTCCCCGCTTAGTTCGCAGTTAAAGAAAAATAAGAATATTAAAATGTAGTCCAATCAAATGCGGCGCTTCTTCTGTCGACTTCGCACAGCCTTTACGTAATCGTCTGTCTGCAGCAGCCATCTCCAACAACTGTTATCGACTGCAGCAGGAGCATCAACATAGAAGCGGTGTGTTCTAAGAATATAATGCATGTCTAGGCAAGAATGCCAGCACGTAGTACGTACATCTCAAATGCGAACTTAACTGATGAAGGCAGCCCTCCAACTCTGCGTCTCTTTTGTTAATGAAATCAGGATAAGAATAAGGTCCAAGAACCAGATAGGGTGACTAATGAAACAACCTCGTTACTTACCTGATATGCGATCATACTTACAGCCAAAAACATCGCGCACGAAAACTTCGCGGAGAAAACAGCGAAAGGCGAAAACATCGTGCTACAAAACATCGTTGGAGGAAACATCGCAGTCCTAAAACTTCGTGGTACAAAACATCGACGTCGAAAATAAAGCGGTTAAAAACTTCGCAGTTTAAAAAGATCGTCGTCGAAAATATCGTAGTAAAAATAAAGTATCTACAAATCATCGCATGACGATAACATCGCAGACATGCTTTTTTCAGGCTTTAATAACTGTAAATGGATATTCCCATAATGATTTGTGAGCGCAAGATGGAAAGAAGGATAATTTTTGCTTTCATATTTTTTATTAACTAATAAATGTTTTCTGAGAAAATAAGAAATTTAAGCATAGAAAATTAATGCAATTTATAATAGAATAGCATTTTAAACTTAATAGAATTTTAAATCGACATAGTTAACTAACAAAGGTCATTAATAAATCATTTTTATAAAGGTTTTTACTGGTAAATTTTCATGAAAATTGTAATCTATAAGTTGCATTTAGTTTTCTATGCTTAAGTTTCCTTCTTATTTTCTCAGCAAAAATTTATTAGTTAATAAAATATGTGAAAGTAAAATTTATCCTTCTTTACACCTTGCGCTCAAAAATCATTATGGGAATATCCATTTACAATTATTAAAACCTGAAAAAAGCATGTTTGCGATGTTATCGTCATGCGATGATTTGTAGATACTTTATTTTTTACCACAATACTTTCGACGACGATGTTTTTAAACTTCGAAGTTTCTAGAACGCTTTATTTTCGACAACGATGTTTTACCACGATGTTTTAGAACTGCGGTGTTTTCTCTCAAGATATTTTATAGCACGACGTTTTCGCCTTGCGTTGTTTTTTCCTCGACGTTTTCGTCCACCACGTTATCGGCTGACACCACGATCATAGTATTAATTCACTTATCCTTTGAGTTATACAAACCACACTTTGGAGACTACTGGTTCACATGTTGAAGAGGAAGGAAGGGGAGTAATTCTTTGCCACTAAATTGGTAAGCTATGTTGAAAATAATTCTATCCCAATCTTTTGTACTCGTATATTGTATTTAATATATTTGAAATGCATGAAACTATGAAAACTTCGACTATGAAAGTGCAACCCTTGTTGGAACGCTGCTAAAAGTCTGGTAGTAGAGCATGTCATGTCAAAAAGTCAAATATGTCCGGTAAAAAAGTGTATATCGGATTCAGAAAAACCGCGTAAATCATTAAATATTATTATTATTGTAATGAAATATATTATTATTATTTATTAATTATTGTAATTATGTATGTCATGATATTTTTTCCGGCTTTGTATTGTTTTTAATTAGTTTTTGCTCTAATGAAAAATCCCTTTGCTTATGTCTAATCATTCTGCATGTTAAATCAAGCTGCTATGCGAATGCGCGCTAATGTTGATAGTCGCAAATGCTGTAGTAAACTAGTACTAGTGATAATGCGCTACTAGTATGAGGTATATGTAATAAGCTGGA